AATATAATACATTGATTTATTTAAAAAATGTAATATATAAATAATTAAGAATAAAAATTACTAGTCTATCATTATAATATGATAATACATTCAATAATATGTCAATTTGGTTACGGTTATCAATTTTTGTTAATCTTTTTATATCATAACATTTTTGGCTGTGGAACGAATATTTCTTTTACACATATTGCTATTGTTATAGACATTTACAACTACTACCGAAGCATTTATCAGATAATATAAAGTAATTTAAATTAACACTTTTTTTACCACATATTTACTAGTTAATCATTTTTTGGTGCATTTATGCATATTGTATATTTTTGTATTTATTAGAGTTCTATAAGTCCTTAATAATTTTACTCGCCTATTTTTTTTTTTTTACAACATAATATCTGGTACTTTTTGTTGTGCATAGGTATGTAGTTATTTTTTCGTGCATAAATGAATGCATATTTGTGTATATTATAGAGCTAGAAGCCCCAAATAATAATCATAATAACTGACAATATTTGTTTCCATATTCTTTAACTTGCAAATATTGGCCAAAATTATATTTTTGTAAATTGAAAACATGGTTAAGATCAAGAATAGGACAGCATAGCCTAACAGGTTTGGCTTTGCTGCATGTGCTTAAAAATATTATTGTATCCATTGATGAAACAATCAACAAATTTGCCAAAATGGAAAAAAGAAATTAGAAATTTGTTATTTGACTACTTACCAACCTTATGTTTTCTACTTAGATATTTGTTAAATTAAGTTACCTATCTTAATTGTTTTTAAAGTTTTTAAAAAATAATTTATAGATACTATTACTACTATGATTATTAGTTGTTTTTTTTTTATACAGGATTCAGACTAAATGTACAATTTAAATATAAGAACTATTTGTATTGTTATTATTAATACTTATTTATGCATTAAGTTTTAAGTATATTTATTAAATAAATATTTAATTAAATTTAGTACTTATTTTTATTTATTCACTCGAATGAACAACAGGAATATGAGCTGTAGGTAATAAACCAGAGGTGTACCCAGGAATTTTTTAGAGGGGGTCTAATATTTTTATTTTATCTGTCCTCTAATTATAATTATAGTTTAATTCAATACCAACAAATTACTGTTAATAACTATAGTAATAGCCACAATTGTTATACATACATCACACATATTCTTCACAAAGGTTTACTATAATAGGTAAGTACTATAATTTGAAATCAATTTTTATTTGGTAGTAAAATGTTATAAAAAAATACATTATTTAATTAACAATAATAAATAATAAAAAAGCAATATAAATTAAACATGGTGTATACAATATAGGTATATTATATAATCTATAAACGTTGAAGATAATGGGAAATTAAAATACACTATATACTATTTACTATTAAACCATTGAATATGTTGAAATTTCAATGGAGAGGGTCCGGACCTGAACTTCCCCTTGGGTATGCCACTGTAATGAACTGTAAATTATTTTTAAGTTTTTATTGAAGAGAAATTAGTCTCGCCCCCCCCCCCCCTGGCCTCAACTCAATTACGCCCTTGTAAAAGTAACTTTTCCTAGAACTTACACGGTTTGTTTAGTATAAATTGTGAACATAGACAGAGAAAAATGAAAAATAAGCATATGTATAATGTGGGTAATAAGTTAACACTATGATTATATTATTATTAAAACCAACGATTATATAATATTTATAAGTAAAATAAATTATACGACTATGCAGTCTAACTACTAAAGGCTAGTCCACATTAAGTATAAATAAGTTGATTCTGCTATAAAGCAATTTATTTTTACTATTCTGAACTGAGCCAAAAGTAGTAATCAAGATTAAATGTTGTCTTTTTTTATTATATCCTAGGTACTTTATACAGAAGAAAATAGAAACTAGAAATACATTTTGAGAAAATATAAAGCTTTGATATTTTATCTTTTAATTTTATGTATGTTGTAAGCTGCAAAATATCTGTCTTCGGTTTATTCAGTTTATTGCGACAGTACACATATTGTCAGTTTTTTTTCATTTCATAACTACATTTAATTATGTACCTCTAGTGAACTACAATACAATTGAAAATCAGCTTTCGATAAACATACGAGTATTAAACACGAAAAAGAAAAAAATTTATCTATGTTAAATACAATACATAAGTTTTTTAAAAAAAAATTGATCTCATAAAACGTATATGATATGAAATGCAAATAAACACTCTGTAGAGTAAGTTTATTTGCTCCTTCAGTCATTGCAATAAAACGTTCAGTTACACTTAAATAGCAGACATATGATTGATATCATCAATGACACACTGAACAAAACAGTAGAAAGTTATATAATTGTTTACACTAGATTATCCACAATTATCAAATTCAACAGTTTAATAAACTAAAAACGTAGGCAATTTTGTATACGGATCCAAAAAACTATCGTACGAAGATCTATTCGTTTACAGTAGAGTTTGCGCTAAGAAAATAATAGAGCTGTACATCCTGTTTGTTTTACAGTAGTGAAAAACATTGGACGCTCACTTAGCTAGCATATAATAAATAATACATACTAACATCAATATTAAATAATATTATATTATACGTCATAATGTATATAGATTTTAATAAATGAAATAACAAATTCCTTTGATCTAATTTTAAAATGATTTCTTTTCTTTTCTTTTTTGTGACAACCACTTCATCATCAATATCATTATATTTAAATTGGTGATGTTTGTAGCATCTGAAAACACACCCATTGAAATAATTTTGTTGTTTAGCCGTTGTTCTTGTAATTCAGTGGCGTGGTGATGATATTATTTTGGAGTAATTACTCCTTCAAAATGTTTGGTAGGTAGGTGGTCCCCCTGCCAAAAAATACTTAACGATAATTATAAAAATAATATAGATATATAATAACATTATATTAAATGTTTTAATTGATAGTAAATATTTAGCGCACAAATGTATTGTATATGATCCGTTACACTAGAAACAATTGGTGCTAATTGCAATACCAATGTTAATAACATTATTCAAAATTCATATGCACTACATAGATCAAGATACAAGATAATTAATGAGTGTAATAAATTTACTAGATAATTAAATAAGTACATCTGATTATACAAATCAGTCTAATATAAGTATATTTTTTAAATTGTTTTACTGTAGTGGAAATACCGTTTGAATAAAGGGTACATTATGGTGTATACATTTTTGCTCTTCACCAAAAATTAGTTCAACACGCCATTGTTATAATTACTCTATGTTTTTTGCGGTTCATCCATTTGACAATTGACATATTAGGATCCAAATCATACAAGGGAGGCATGTTATAATTAATGTATAAGTACATATTTTCAGTTGAAACATTCATGGCAGAACGTAATGGAGACTAATAAATTGCTAATACCGTAGTTTTAATCTCTTAATATTAATAGATAAATATTTGTTATCAATATTTTAATCATAATTTCTAATAATTCCAGAAAACAAAATAATGTCAAATGGTACCTATATTACAAACTCATAGACATATAGAATTAATTATTAAAAATTCAAATCATATTATTTTTTTTATGAACTGCACAACATTTAAATAAGAACTGCACATTAGCGCAAGCTCTTGTTTGAAGTGCTAATAGTTAGTTGAGAGGAAGAACTACCGGCCAGGCAAAATACTCCAATGCCAGACTGTGATTGATTACGCAAAAAAAATAAATAAAAAATGTCTGTGGTACCAACCTCGGTATAAGATAAATGTTATAACTGAAATCTTGGTTGGTACCAACATTCATTATTGTTTTCTTATCTTATCAGTTATAACAGTTTTTATACTATGTGGTTATCTTTATAGTTCTTAACATTATGCCCGACGCCTTCAAGCCGACAATATTGTTATGAAATAATATATTCATAATTTTAAAAATATTATCCTACTTCAGTTGTTAAGTTTTAATTTAACTGACATGGAAAGATTTTATTTATTTATCACATTTTTTTTTTGTATTTTAACTGTGATCAATTGTACGAATATTGTGAGACCCAGAGGCATTGCGTTTGAAAGTAAGGCCATCATCTTATTATTAATATCAGAACTGTTAAAAATGTATCTAAACATTACATTATATTTTCTGATAATGTTCATTAAATCCCTTTGTATATTTTTTAGGAGCTTCGCTTTATATACCTGACAAGGATTTCTCATGTTTTGATGGAAGTTTCATAATTCCTTATTCGTTCGTAAATGATGATTATTGTGACTGTCCAGATGCAAGTGATGAGCCTGGTACTTCAGCGTGCCCTAATGGTACTTTCCATTGCTCAAATGCTGGACACAAGTCCCTCATCATACCATCGTCTAGAGTTAATGATGGAATTTGTGGTATGAATACTATAAACATAAACTACTATAGAACAAAACAAATTAAATATTTTATTTTTACTATCAACGATATTTTGTTATACTTATTATAATTTTTAAATAATGTACAATCGCCGTCCTAAGTAAATGATAGAATGAGATCTATTAATATATATTTTTATTGTTATTATATGTACTAGTTTTATGCATGAAAATGGAAAATTTAATTAAATACTTTAAGTATAAATTATTATTTTTAAGTATATACTATAATTAACTATTTTTCTTTTAAGTTTTTCATTATAGTGTTTAATAGTTAATTCTTTCATATATATTGTAATAATATACTGATATGAATATGAAATATACATTGATAGATTGCTGCGACGGCTCTGATGAATGGGCGAATAACAACAGAAAAGGTACATGTGAAAACACTTGTGAAGAACTTGGACGAGCAGCACGAGAAGAGGAAGAAAGGCTACAAAAAATATTTATGGCTGGACATGAAATACGCGCTCAACTAATTGTTAAAGGAAAAGAACTTCGAATGGAAAAACAAGTACATTTTTTGAAAAATATTTTTAGCTTTGTTTTTTAATTTTTGATGTTTTCAAAAAAAAAAAGAAGATTTATAAAATGTTATCACATTTTACTTATTATTTCTATATTTTTACTTATTATTATCTCCAATTTTGGAGATTCAGTAATGGAATAAATCTGAACATAATATGTGAGAAAAAGTATTGGCATAGTGCCAATAGTTGGATATGATAAGAGAAAATAGATTGAGATGGTTTGGGCATATGATGAGGCAAGAGGAAATAAAAGCAATGAAGTAGTTATAAAAATAAACATTGAAGGGAAAAGAAGAAAAGAAAGACCAAAAAAGAGAAGGTTGGATACAATTGAGAATGATATGAGGCTGTTGGTATATGAGTAAGCGATATAGAAAATCAAGACGAGCGGAAGTTTAAGATAAGGTTGGCTGATTCCAAATGGTTGGGAAAAAGGCGAAGGAGAAGAAGAAAAAGTAATGGAATACTTCCATTAACATTTTTTCTTGATAAATTTATATTAACAAAACCTAATTTAGGTTATATATTCAACATTGCTAACTTTTTTTTTAATATATAGAACAGAATCACTGAACTCTTTGAACAACAAAAAGATGCTGAACTTTTAAAGAATGATAGATTAAATGTTAAAGAAAAGGCAGACGAGATTGAAAGATCTGCATTGGAAAAATATAAAGTAATGCATGATGAAAAAAGAAGACAAGAAAAGGAACAAGAAAAACTTGAGCAGCAAAATGAAGCTTTTGAAATATTTAACGAAATAGATACAAATAAAGATAACAAGTATAATTTTCAATAAAAACTAAATAGTTAGTTCTATTGGAAAAATAAAAACATTTATTGTAGGATTGATGAAGAAGAAGTTGATGCCTACAATACTTTTGATCAAAATAAAGATGGTATTGTTTCACAAGATGAAAAAGATGTAAGTTACATAAGTATATTTTTTTTTGTATACATTTATTTACTATTCAAAAATTACAGTTTAGTATAATAATGTATATCATTTAAATCATTGAAAAATAATATATTGTAGGTTTTTTTTCCTTTGTTAATAAACATTTACAGCAATATTGTAGGTTTACTTAATTAATACATTTATTAATTACAAAAAAACTGTTTTTAGTACTTTATGGAAAATAAGAAAGAGATAAATTTAGAAGACTTTATGTCAAATAGTTGGGATCGTTTAAAACAATTAATATTTGCTCAATCCAGCAATTTAAAAGAGACTGAAAATCCTGTTGAAGAAGATAATGATAAAATTGAAGAAGTAGAAGATCAAGATGAAAACGATGATGAAAGTGAACCTGAGACTGTAGAAGATGAAACCAAATATACAGATGCTGAGGAACTTGATGAATCTCAGTATGATGAAGAAACAAAATTGATTGTAGAAAGTAATGGATAACAAATTAATTAAAAAAATAAATGTTTACTCTTAATAATGCTGCATTGAATTTTACTATTCAATATTTTAATAATTCTATTATTATTTATTTTCTTAAAAGTACGACCATGTTATAAACCATTAATTATTAAATAATTCAATAATTGCAAAAATATTACTAGTCACATATTTTATCAAATTGAGATATTAGTAAATAGTTATACTTTTATTATCAAACAAAAAAACTAAGACATTTTTACATTTGATGCATAGAAACACATAACGAGTATAAGTTTTTACTAACACCTCAATTTCATAAAATATGTGACTTGTGACATTTCTGCAATCATTGATTCAAATTATTTTTCCATATGACACTATTTAAAACTTTTATTGGCTTATCTCTATTATTAAATATATTAACCAATGTAATAATAAATGCACATTAAACTAATCAAATATATTATTAATAAATCAAGAATACTGAATGGACACATCAGGGTTTTTTAATTAAATTTTTTATTTTTAATTTTTATATTAGATGCCAAACAAGCACGTGAAGCTTTTGAAGAAGCTGATAGAAAATTCAGGGACATACAACGAGAAGTAACCCATTTACAAGAATCACTCAATAAAGATTTTGGTCCAGAAGATGAATTTGCAGCTTTAGATGGAGAATGTTATGAACTCTCTGACCGTGAATATGTGTATAAATTATGTCTTTTTGATCAAGTAAGATTTGTATTTAAATTATAGTTTAAATAATTTCAAAATTGATGTATTTTATTAAATTATGGCAGATAACTCAACGATCAAAGAATGGTGGATCTGAAGTGAGATTAGGTACATGGAATAGTTGGATTGGTGAACCAAAATACCGTACTATGTTATATGATAGAGGACAGCATTGTTGGAATGGTCCTCAAAGATCTACTCATGTAAGAATATTTTTATTTAATTAAATAATTCATTTACTTTTAATTATGTTTAAATTTGTAAAATTAGGTACGTTTAAATTGTGGCTTAGAACCAGCCTTAATATCAGCAACAGAACCTAATCGTTGTGAATATGCTATGGACTTTGTTGTACCAGCTGTTTGTGTTCAACATAATGAAAGGCCCTCAGCTCCTGTTACAGAAATTGATCATGATGAATTGTAATTTAAATCTATTACTTGTATCTCATTTGTGTCAACTATTTTCTGGGTATTAGGTTCAAAAATGTATACAATTATTGAACTCCTTGAATATTAAATACAGTGTACATTTGTTATAATTTATATACATTTTTAAAAATAATTTTAAACATGTTTTTACAAAAATAAAATGAATTTGTGATGTTTAGCTGAAACTTAAACAGACTTAAGGCTATATATATATATATATATATATATATATATATATATATATATATAT